ACAAGATTGCTGGGTTCTGAGTGCCCTAGTCCTGCCTGCCTGTTTTTTGTATCCCTCCTGTCACCTTGACATTAAGGTGTCACCTTGTCACCTTTTCCAGCTTGGCAGATTAAGTAACCAACCCCTGACTTCAGCATTTTTTTGAAGTATCGTCTTGATAGTCTTTCCACCTTTTTTTTTTTTTTAAACCCAGCAAACAGAAAGGATACCAAAGAGAGAGAGGAGAAAATGCCCAAGAAATACAGATAAGCCCGAGATTCCATGGGGGTTTCTAGAGAAACAGGAACCTCCACACAGCCATATTACAATGGACAAGAACCAGAGTCTTATGCCTTATTTCTGTTATCCAGCTGGGTCAAAATTATAAAATTCGCCTTTTGGTTAGGGTCTCCCCCCTCCTATAGGACACAGGTCTGAGTCCCCTGGGCAGAGTTTGGGACTCCTCATGGATGCCCACTTGCTTCCATGAAGACCCTTGCTGTCAGCACACTGTTGTATGATCATCTTTTAGCTCACCCATCTCCCCCACCTTATGCTCTCAACTTCCTGAGGACAAGGACTTGTGTCTTGTAACTCCCCCACCTACCAGAGCACCCAGCACAGTAGGCCATTTGTAGATGGTGGTTGGACGGGCAGACAGATGGATGGATGGATGAAGGAAAACCCTTACATTTCAAGCTGCAGAGGCTACTGGTCCCCACCTACGTGTGGCTTCCCTGAGGTCACTGTTTCTCAAGCATTCAGAATGCACCCTCTGGCTGAGAAGAGAGAGGAGCCATAGCCACTAACAATACAAAGGAGCTCTGGGTAGCAGACAGGCAGAGGTAGGATGCCTGAACAGGGCAGGGGCTTGGCAAGCACCTGACAGTATTGCCTTCACTCACTGACCTTTCGTCTCTGTTTGGAGGCTCAGGTTTCAGCCTGCTGTGAGGGAAGCTGTCCTGTGGTAGCAGGAGACTGAAAGTGCCCTCTTTCCCCTCAGTCACATGCTGTGATCACCCAACAGCAGGGATCAGGGTCAGATGTGAGGGCCTGCAGTCATTGTTCTAAGGAGATTAGTGTCACAGGCAAAATGTGTCCCCACCCCATTCTCAGGATTTCTCTTTTTATGTCTGAAAGATCTCTGTAAAGGTAAAAGGTTAAATATTAGTCAAAGACTGGGTTCTTGTGAAATTGTGAAGATAAGGTCAGGTGGGACAGAAGATACCCACAGTGAGTTTATTTGACAAATTATCCCTTCCTTCAAACATCTCCCATCCCCCAGGAATATTCTGGAATTGACTGAAGGAATCTTTCTGACTGCCTTGACAAAGTCCCTCTCCTGGAGATACATGGTTTTGTGTTTTCTATCCCAGCCCACCAGGAGGTGGCCACATTTCCCCCACCCACTGGGGGAAGAATGCCTGTGACTTGTCCTGCTCATCCCTTGTTTCCCTCCAAGTACTTTGCTCTCCCTTCCCCACTGTGCCCTGTCCTCCCCTTGATAGAGGATAATTTTCTTCTCTGGAATCACAATCTGGTTCCTTATTCTGTAATCCTTACCTATCCCTGAGCCTCATGGGTTTTATGTCCTAATCTTCTTTTCATAAATCAATCTCCTTTATCCTTAAGTCATTGCTTGTGTCTTCCTGAACTCCTGGGACCTGAGGGCTGAGCCTTGTACCTAGCAGTCCTCAAGTCCCTGAGGATAAACAGATCTCAGGCCCTGTTGCTTAGAATGATTTGGGTTGGATTGTCACCAGGCTTGTGATCCTGAAATCCTTTTTGAATTGAGTAAGATAAACCAAATGTGTGTTTATCAGGATGTCTCGGTCCATCTGGAACATTCGAGTATTTACAAGATGTTCTCCCTGTTCAGGCGTTTAAAATCCTTCCTCTGACAACATGTTTTTGTTCTCCTTATATGACACCATCTTGGATAACAACTTCTCTGTGAGGAGTCAAGAGTTTCTACTCTTGAATTCAAGTTTCCTGTCGCTCTTTTGACTCTGTGCAACCAGCTGGGGCTCGTGTCTCCTTTTGATGAGATTCCTGGGGAGCAGGGGAGATTGTGTGCATTGTAAAATGTGTAGACTGAGATGAGATTGCAGGGCTAATGAATTGAGGCATTTTCTGTATCCAAGTATTAAATATTTGCTGAGCACATTCTATTTGCAGACATTAATGATGCCCAGGGATTGAAAACATGAAAAGTCATAGTTCCTGCTCTCCTGGTCTACATGGAGACAGAGAAAAAGAAACAGATCTTTATAATACAAAGAAGTAGATGCCAAAATTAAATATAAACAATGTGGTCTGAGAAAAAAGAGGAGGGACAAACTTTGTTTGTTTATTTTGTTTGCAAAATGCAGCTGGTGTATCTTACCTTGCAGCCACATTGTCAGGAATACATAAAATAATAAAGACACAGAACAGGTGACATTTGAGCAGGATCTTGAAAGATGAGAAGGAGTTTGCCAGGTAGAGACGGTGTGGGAAGAAAGGTTATAGATAATAATGTCAGGTCTTCACCCTGTTGACATGGTCTCAGAATCAAGTAAGGTCAGAATATACTTGAAAAGTAAAAACACAGTTTAAAGATCAGTATTGATATAATCTGAGCAACTGTTCAGGTGAAGTCAGAAGCCGGGGCAGCGCTTGAGAAGAAGGCTGGTGCTTCATGTGTGACTTGTACCTTTGGAGGATAGGTACCTTTGGAGGATAGGGTAGGGGGGTGTCCTGGTCACTGTTTCAGGAGAAGGGGAAACAAGAGGATTTTATTTCTTCCCTTTGTTCTCAAGGACTTCCTAAGCACCAGGGAGATGAGTGTCCCATTCCTGCGGCACAGGCTCCCTGGGTTGCTGGGAGAGTGTGGCTGTAAAACAGAGTCCCTCCCTCCTAGGATTCAGCCTTTGAACTCTCCTCCATCCCTTGGAGTTTCCATGTTGTTGGGATCTCTGTGAGAGCCCTGTGACTCCTAGGATAGGAGGCAGAGTTAAAAGCCCCTATGCTACCATAGAAAACAGAGGGCTAGTGGCAAATAAGCACATGAAAACATGCTCAACCTCACCAGTCATGAGGGAAATGCAAATTGAAATCACAGTGAGATGTCCCTATCCACCTATCAGAAGAGCCAAGCTTTTGGAGCTGAGGATTCCAAATGCTGAAAGGATTCAGAGCAACAGGACCTCGCCTACATTGCTGGTGGAGATGCTAACGATACAACCACTTTGTGGGGTTTTGTTGTTGTTGTTGTTTTTAAGATTATTTATTTATTTATTTGAGAGAGTGAGAGAGCACAAGCTGGGGAGAGCAGCAGAGGGAGAGGGAGAAGCAGGCTCCCAACTGAGCAGGGAGCCCAATGTGGAGCTTGATCCCAGGACCCCAGGATCATGACCTGACCCGAAGGTAGACACTTAACTGACTGAGCCACCCAGGTGCCCCGATATAACCCCTTTGGAAAGTAGTTTGACTGTTTCTTACAAAGTTAAACATACATTTAGGGACGCCTGGCTGGCTCAGTCAGTAGAGCATGTGACTTTTCATCTTGGGCCTATGAGTTCAAGCCTGTAGAGATTACTTTTTTTTTTTTTTTAAGATTTTACTTATTTATTTGTCAGAGAGAAAGAGAGAGAGAACAATCAGGGGGAGCAGCAGAGGGAGAAGCAGGCTCCCCGCCAAGCAAGGAGCTCAGTGTGGGACTTGATTGCAGGAGCCTGGGATCATGACTTGAACAAAAGGCAAATGCTCAACTCACTGAGCCACCCAGGCGTCCCTAGAGATTACTTTTAAAAATAACAAAATTTAAAAAAAAAAAAAGTTATTCATTTACCTTATGACTCAGAATCTCACTCCTGGATATTAACTCAAGAGAAAGGAAAATGCTTCTCAAAGATGTCTACAATCCATTTAAATACTTCTATGCAACTGTTTATAGCAGCTTTATTCATAATAGCCCCAAACTGGGATCAGCCCAGATGTCCATCAGCCAGTAAGTAGAAAACCAATACATATAATGGAGTACTATGTTGGGGCACCTGGGTGGCTTAGTCGTTAAGCAGCTGCCTTCAGCTCAGGTCATGATCCCAGGGTCCTGGATTTGATCCCCGCATCGGGCTCCCTGCTCGGCAGGAAGCCTGCTTCTCCTTCTCCCATTCCCTCTGCTTGTGTTTCTTCTCTTGCTGTGTTTCTGTCAAATAAATAAAATCTTTAAAAAAAAAATGGAGTACTACATGACAATAAAAGGACCAGACTATTGATATACACAGCAACGTGAGTGGATCTCAAGAGCATCGTGTAAAGTGAAAGAAGCCAAACAAAAGGCTACATATTGTATGATTCTGTTCATGTGACATTTTGGAAAAGGCAAAACTATAGGGACAGAAATCAAATTAGGGTTGCCAGAGGTAGGGGAAGGGAACTGACTTCAAAGGAGCTCAACATGCCAGAAAGAGAACTTTTGGGAGTGTTGGAAATGTTCCATATAAAGAGTGTGGAAGTGATTAACTAACTGAATACATTTGTCAGATCTCCTCAAATTGTACACTTAGAAAAATGAATTTTATTCTATGTAAATTATACCACAGGTTAAAAAAAAAAAAAAGATTCCCCCTAACCCTCTGTTGCCCCAAAATCAGGCTGAGGAAGATGACATTCAGGACCCACCAGCTGCTCAGGGCTCCCCTTGAACACACAATGGCCTGGAAACAAAGCCCATACTTGCACTCTGGTGAGATGCTGATTTTCCTCAAAGCCTGTGCCTTCACTTCCATGCCTACTTCTGGCTTCCAGCCCTAGGCAGGGCACGCTCTGACCAAGCTCTAATTTGTGGCATGTAATCTCCATTTGTAACCCATTAACCTAGCCAAAGTTTCCGGAGACTGGGGCTGGGCCTGAGGGAAATTTGGCTCGCCTGCTATAGTCCCATCGTGAGAAGCAGGGAACATTTCTACTTCTGTCCAGAGGGCCTCCTACAGCCTCATTATAGCCCTGAGGGTATGTTTGGGGGTCTGTCATTTCAGTGCTCCTCACATGGGTCAACTGTGCCAGTGTGCGGTGGGCCACCCGGGTTCAAGACATTTTCACAGCTGGGAAACTCCTGGCCCTGGCCCTGATCATCATCATGGGAGTTGTCCAGATCTGCAAAGGTGAGTAGCACCCAAAAAACAGGACCCCACCCAACTTTCTGCCGTTTTCATGTGCACACCCCCTCACATTGTCTTTAGACACGTGAACCCTGAGATTTTCCAATTCTGACCTTGAATGACTTTTCTTCTTCACTTGCTTCACAAAGGAGAAGAGAAACCATTTTCCTGGGATGGTTGGAAGTTGAGCCTGTCCCACCTGGTTTGCAGAGTTCAGGTCTCCCATGCTGACCTCCTGGCTCTGGCCCAGCTAGGTGAAGCCCCCAGACCTCTGGACTCCTGTTGCCCTCTTATCCCATCTTCAGAGAATCTCCCTGCATCTTACATTGTATGTTGCCCGTATCTTAAAATGGAGAACAGAGGAGATTTTTACACATTTCAAAATTACTCATAATCTCTACAAGAGAGAGCTCGGCATTCCTGGGGCCCCTGCCAACATTCCCCACTGGATTTGGTCCCTTCCAAGTCCAAGTCTGTATTTGGTTTCCACAGGAACCATGGCACCACTAGGCTCTGCCCATTGCCTCCTGGAGAAAGTCAGATGACAAACAGAGAGACCTCCCACCCGCCTACAAGCCCTGAAGGCCATGTGGGGTGCCTGGATATTTACTCTAGGGAACATAATTAAGGTTCTGCTGTTATTTTAACCAGTTGTGTTAAGTTCTTTAGCAGGTAATATTGTGTAGACTTAAAGAAATCACTTAAAGAAATCCTCCATCTGGTAGGGGAGATACCATGATCATGAAGGGGGTATTCCAAGGGCAAGGTTTATCCATTGCACTATGGATATGCTGACCCCTGCAGTTTCCCCAAACATGAGAAATGGGACTACATAATATATGGTAGTGAGGACTGTGTTCATGCTTTCCCCCTAAAAAACAAAAGAAAGAAAGAACCCACTGTGCTATCTTTTCAGAGATAAAAGTCTCTTCTATTCTGGCCCTGATGCTTTCTCCTGATCATTCTAATTTCCTTATTTCCTGTCCAAACGATGGATTGCAATTGAATAAGTAAAATATGGGCAGTTACTCTGTGTTTCATTACAACATCATCAGCAACCTTTCTTGAGGGCCCACGTGCGTGTAGGACACTGTGCTGAAGGTTGGGGAGGCAGTGGAAAAGCTCTTTGCTGAAGGACCCTGTCCTCAGGAAATCTATACCATGAAGAGAGAGAGAGTGATGCCTTAGAAAGAGACAAGAGGTTATTGACAAAGAAAGCAGAATGCGCATAAACTTCTATGGTGTTAGAGGAACTTCCATTTGAGGGTTTGTTGTTCTTCATGCTTTCTTTGTAAAAATGTATAAACTTAGATCTATAGGAAGGTGGTCAGGAGACTGCCAATGGCCCTAATCCTGCATCTCCAAATCTCAGCTCCCTCCCACCCCCACCCCCTGCCCACCACCCCTGATTTACTCTACTCTGCCCTAACCTGGCCTTTCCTTCCAAGCAAATTTGCCTTTGAAAAGAACATTGAGATCTGTGCTTTGAACCTGAGCCTGCATTTGGACTCCTGGTTCCTAGGTTCTGTGAAAGTCCTAATCTTATTTCCATTCTCCTTTTGGTCCCGCTTCTCCAATGTGTGGAGTTCACTGGAAACAAGACAAGAGCTGGATCTTCACTGCAGGAGGAGCTGAGACAGGACTAGGCAGGCTAGAGGCCTCCAGGCCTCTAGCTCCTTTCTCTGAGCAGCCCCCTGCCCCTTGCATCCACAGGAGAGTATTTCTGGCTGGAACCAAAGAACGCATTTGAGAATTTCCAAGAACCCGACATCGGCCTCATCGCACTGGCTTTCCTTCAGGGCTCCTTTGCTTACGGAGGCTGGAACTTTCTTAATTACGTGACTGAGGAACTTGTTGATCCCTACAAGTGAGTTAAAATAGCCCAGCTCTTCCCAAATCCCTTGAAAGGCCACAGCACCTGCTACTAGGAAGAGAGAGTCAGGTGTCCACTGGCCACTTCTCCACCTCTGCCCCTGTTCTGACTGTGATCTGGTCTATCCTGAAGAAACAATTATTTCTAAGGAACTTAAACCATTTGCCATCTGCCCTGCCAGGAGGAGAAAAACGATCCCGTGACTGTCCCAGAGCAGATTAAAAGCTGAAACAGTGCTGAGATAGCACCATTGCTTTAGAGGATGAAATGTGCCAAGAGGTCTCTGGGCATCTTACTTACCTGCCTTAGGACAGGAGGGTCTTTGTGTCTTGAGGCAGGGGAAAAGGGTGCATCATGGAGATTCCAGTCAGAAAGAGGTCAACTGGTATGAAGCATATTCCCAGCCTATACTGTTTCATTTTCTCTAAATTGCCCTGCCCATTTTGAGACAGAATACATCCCCCCAGGGAGAGGGAGTGTCACACAAGTTGCCAGGTCAGTTTGGAGCAGAAAGACAAGGCACCTCCCAAACCCCGTGATGAGGCAGGTGCCAGGCCTTTCCCCTCTCACCTCCTCTCCTTCTACAGGAACCTTCCCAGAGCCATCTTCATCTCCATCCCACTGGTCACATTTGTGTATGTCTTTGCCAATGTTGCTTATGTCACTGCAATGTCCCCCCAGGAGCTGCTGGCATCAAACGCAGTCGCTGTGGTAAGAAATCAAACTCACAGTTCCTCAAACCAGGAATGTTGACATAGACTTGCCTGATTGGCCCTACTCACTTTTCCCTGATCCATGAATTTGTGGAATTGGAAGTCATCCCAAGTTCTCAGGGCAGAAACCGTATCTTCAAGTGCCCAGGAGGAAACTGACGGCCATGTTGTGCCTAGAACAGTGACAACAGCAGAACCAGCTTGTTGCCACACACTCTATGGCCCACAAAGATACCTTCCTTACTATATGACCCTTTACAAAAAAAATTTGCCAGTTCCTGATCTGGGGCACTTTAAACTCTAAATGTGATGATTGTGTAATGGAGGTAGTCTCCTCCTAGAAAGATATAATCTTCCACAAGACAATGCCATTCCTCTCTGCCTTTGTTTCTTCCTCTGGAAATCATGCAGCCTGACTCCTTCCCTCATCAGGGAAAAGTGTGTGCCAATAAACAGGTAGTAGGAATGGTCTGTGCTCTTTGGGGAAAGAGATCATGGAGATCCAAAGCACTGGGGTCTTTGATACTCAGGAGGAACCTGGGAGCCATGCAGCCCCCTGACCTGGCTTCACCTGAGCCCTGACGCCACCCTACCAAACTGTCATCACATTTTTCCTCTCAGAAGACTAAAGAAAGAGGCCCTTCAGTGTCCTGGGGCATGACTACTGGCCTAACCCAGCAGCACATCTACTCTAAACAGCACCTCCCCCATAATGTGTGAGAAATTGAGTGTGTACTTGGCTCAGAGAATATAGAAAAGCCTAGTCCCTTGACATTTTACATTCCTTCAGTATAGGGAGACTAGTCTGTAGCTTCACCACCTTTTCTTTCTCAGCCTACATAGTGGCTTGTTCTTATCATTTTCCCCCTCTTACACTAATTCTGTGAATTTAGAAATTCTCACCCTATGAATTAGGAACCATTTCTATTTTACAGATGGAAAAACTGAGGCTCAAAAATTAAGGATCTTGCTCAAGGTCTCACAGCTCCAAACTGTTGGGCTAAGATTTGAACCCCAACCTGCCTGACTCATGAGTGTGTAATGTAACTAAGGCCTGGACTCCCACAGCTGGCTTCTGATCCTGGCCCTCCACTTTCTGGGTTTGTGATCTTAGGCAGACTACCTAATTGCTTTGTGCCTTAGTTTTCTCATCCATAAAACAAGGAGAACAAATGTTAGCACATCATCATCATTGTTGTTGTTATTATTATTATTAACACCACCATGCACTGTCTCCTTCAGTTAATAGCCCAAAACACTTGTTAAATCTCCACTGTGTGTGATCACCATGGGAAGGGAAGTGGCGGTGCGGTGCAGGAGGGGCTGGGGAAACAACTCTCCCTGCGAGGACCCTGGTAGTAGAGACTCAGCAAGCGTAGAGATGGGAGGGAGCATTCCCAGCAGTGATGTACAAGTGGTGGGTTGTAACCTTGCCTCTTCTGCTCATTCCCTTGTTTTCTCTCCCAGACATTCGGAGAGAAGCTCTTAGGGGTCATGGCCTGGATCATGCCCATTTCCGTTGCCCTGTCCACATTTGGAGGAGTCAATGGGTCTCTCTTTACCTCTTCCCGGTAAGTGTCATCCCAGTCCTTCCTGGGCCAGGGGCCATTCTGCTGCGCATATTGCTCTGTGTATATGTGGGGGGCTTGTCTCTGTCAGCAGGGGTCTGTGTGGGCACCTGGGTGGTGACCTCGTAGGGGGTGATTGCTCACGAAAGGGCATTTGTATGTCAGCTTGGACGCAAAGGAGTGTTTGCTGCTCATGTGGTTACCTGCGATGTGTGTGGCTTCACATGTAGTGGCGAGAAGCCCTGTCCCACCTCATTTCAACAGGAGCAGAGGGCTGAGGAGGTCCCAGACTGCCTGACGCAGTCCTAGGTCTGGGCACCATGACTAGCTGCAAGACAGTATCTCAGCAGCAACCGCAGAGCCCCTTTGCTACTTGCCTGGAAACAGGCTATGCTGGCTTGAAAGGAACCCCACTCTATCAGGGACCAGGAGGGACACAGGCTTGTGGGGTGGTGATGGGGGCTCTGGGCTGGCCTCTTATGGAAGTTCTGGGACCAGCCTGCAGGTGGGATGGATCCTTCTCCCTGCTCAACAGACAAGTGGCTGTGGGCGGCCTTGTCATGGCCGCTCGGGAGACTTAGGCAGAGCGTGTGAAGTGAGAGAAGTGGGGAAAAGCTGAAGGAAAGCATTTGTCCAAAGCCAGGCCCCCAACTCCCAAACTCTCAGGGAAGCCAGAATCTCAAGTAAGTCCAGAAATCCCTAACATTTGCCTCTACATCCCCAGGAATCTGCCCCTCCTCAGGGTCTCTTCTCCCTATCTCCAGAATGGATCGTTGAGGCTAGCAGACACTGGACTGATTCCTATCAGTGTTGTTCAAGGGGTCTTCCCCCATTTCTTAGAAAGTTCCCCTGCCCCCAGGCCATAGTCCTATTTGAAAGATACAGCAAGAACAGGGAGTCCCTGAGTTCAGCTGCTTCCAAAGCCACCCATTACCTCAGGGAGGAGTTCTCATGAAATGTCAAGGGAGTGCCATGTTTTCAGGACCCAGGGCAGGGAAGAGGGAGTGTGGGTGTCCTCTGTGGCCCGGGACCCTATGAGACTGAGACTCACCCACAGCAACCTCGTGTGCGTGTTACACAGGAGCTGTGGCCACCTGGAGTCCCCAACTGAGGGCGAGCAGTGGAAGAGCAGTGACCCATGAGGCTCTCTGGGATCTATTGGAAGAGAGTGACTGGCTACAGTCACTTTAGAGTGGGGTTTGTCCCTCGGGCAGGCCAAGCGATGGTCTGCGTGCATGTGGTACAGTTGTGTGTGCATGTAGGACACGGCGGCCCTGGCGTGCAAGGCCTCTGATTCAGAGGCACAGCTCACCCACCAGGCCTCCTCTGCTCATCTTTCCAGTTCCTTCGTTCCTTCCTTCTCCTTCCCTCCCTCTCTCCTTCTTTCTCTTACTCCTTTGTGTTTGGTATATGGAGAGGTTGACCCTTCCTGAGAAATAAGTGTGTGTGTGGGCGTGTGTCATGCTTAATGTCATTGTCTCCTCTGTTGTCAGCTAGCTGGGCAAGGATTGTCTCTTGTGAACTTGACACTTGCAAATGCTGTTGGACCTGGACAGTTACACTGGTCCTGGCTGCATGTGGAGGAGGGACATGAATGTGGGGCCCTGGCTACGTGCATGATGAGGCTCCCTGAGCACCCGGGGCTCATTTAGGTGCATGAGGCTGCACCATAGAGGGGCAATGCTGCGTGGCTGCATGAAACCAGTGACAGTAGCCTAGGTAGTTGATGATGGCAACTGATGGTGATGCACATGGGTACTTGGGGCCATAATGGACTCCCACACTTTGCCAAACTGCTGCTGTTAGTTCCTCTCCCCCTCACACACAAATTCCAAAGTAAGTGACAGGTTTTTGTTTTTTTTTCAGAACACCCAGCGTGCTGATTCTGTGCCTTCCTGTGCCCTTTACACCAACTCCTTCCTCCTACCCCTTAGGTGCTTAATTCATACTAATATGTGAACTTCTAAAGGCTTATAGTGTTCTTTTCTCTGAGAAAAGGAAAGGGGAAAAAGAAGTCCCTTTTATGTTAAAATTTCTCTTTTTAAAAATACATATTTTTAGTCATGATATTATACTGTAGTTTGGCAGTATGTTACCAGTAGAAATAGATTGGATACCTAGGATCTCTTCGTATTATTTCTTCCAGTTGCATGGGAGTCTACAATTATCTCAAAAAAAAGGATCTAATTTTTAAAAAGGATTAAAAAATCATTTTTATTCCAATTAAAAATTTCTCATCTATTTTAGAAATTAACTTTTTAAATAAAGTCTATGGAAAAAAATTAAAATTACTCATAATTCCAACCCCTGAGATAATCAGTTGGTATGTTTTTTACATGACCATAATTTCTAAATTAATTAAAATCATACTGTATGGAATCATATAGTGTTCTGTCTTGCTCTTACCATTTAACATTGTATTTGAGCATGTTCTCATGTAATGAATTTTTTTCAAAACATTAAGACTATAAAATATCCCATCTTATAGATATGCTATAATTTATGTTATCAGTCTTTTACTTTGGGGGCATTTAGGATATTTCCTATCTTTTTTATCATCAGAATATCTTTTATATATATCTTTCACTAACTCACTATTCATTTCCTTAGGATGGCTTCTTTGGGAATAGAAAAAGTAGCTTAAGGTTATAAATTTTTAGGTATGATATAATACAATACATGCAATACAATAAAATACACAGATTGTCCAGATTAATGAATTTTGAGAGTTGTGTACAGTGATGTAAGCACCACTCAAAACAAGATATAGAACATTCCCACATATCCCCCAAGTTATTCCATGTCCCTTTCTGGTCCACCACCCATTCTCCATCCCCACAGTAGCAACTACCTCCTGACTAGAATATCAGTGTTTTTAAGGCTTCCCATGGACATACAGTTCAGTCCCCATGTTTCAGAGAACCTGTATTCCTTGAGGATGAGGGAGGCCCATTTTTAAAGGGATTAAGACGTTGTGAGACCCACAAAGTGAAGTCACAATCATCAGTAACCCCAAGCCACTCAGACCATACTTAGGGTCTCCATGCACCCAGAATCCATCCGTTATCCACTGGCTGCCTCTGGTCTGCCTGCACCTGCACTTGTGAATGTGGGTCCTGTGACAAGTGGGCTGGAGTGTGCATGGGAAGGTGGGTACGTGGTTGGGTGGGGGAGATGCTCTTGTGTGAGCAGAAGGTGGGCATGAATGAGGAAGACTGGGCTGGGGAGGGAACTTCCTTGGGTAGTTTGTGGGTCACCCCAGGCTGACCTGTTTTTCCTCTTTACCAGGCTGTTCTTTGCTGGAGCCAGGGAGGGCCACCTTCCCAGCATGCTGGCCATGATCCACGTGAAGCGCTGCACCCCAATCCCGGCCTTGCTATTCACAGTAAGGGCCCCTCCTTCTGCCAGCCCTACACACACCCTCCCTCTTTGTACTTGCTCTGAGCTGAAGTTCGCACTTCCCACACACAGCCCTGTCACCCTCCTGGTCTGCTCCCAGGTTCCGCTGGGTTTTAGATAATCTGGCAAATGGTATACATGGGCTTTGTGAATATCAAGAGAAATAACAAGGAAAGACCCTGTGTCCTAAAACACCTTTGGGCTCTCACCCTGGCTTATTGCTATTCTCCCATCCTTCTGGGTCAGATTGAAGTGACTATGTCACAACTCTACAGTCTCATAAAGAAACCTCCTTTCTTGGCTCTCCCCTGCACTTGTTGCCCCCAGGATTGCAGCTTTGGGTCCCCACTCCTGGCCAATCACATACATGTCCACCACTCCCCATCAGTCTTCTTGCCCCAAGGAGGCTCTGCCTGTCTCTCAGGAAACATCACTGAAACAAATTCAGTGTTACAGGTACACCAAATAAGACAAACTATAAGGAAAGGAAGACTGGCAACTGAAAATGGAGAAAAGGAAACTTGGGTAGGGAAGAAATGAGGGTAGAATGGCCTAGCGTAGAATCATTTAGAGAGGTAAAAAGAAAGAGCAAAGACTTGTCCCCACTGAGTCTTTTAAGTTACTCTTTTTTCTTTCTGGATCCTGAGTAAAATATTGAAAATTACTTCGGTCCATCAGAGAAGCAGTTAGATCACGATAATTGAGAGCTCTTAGGAGTCAAGTGCCTTCATTGTACACCATGAGGTGGAGTTTCAGAATGTTCAGATACAGGATGAAGGCCATCGGGATTGGTTAGCTGTGAAAGGTGCCCGGAGACCCCTAGTACTCCCAGTGAGACACAGACTTATTTCCAGTTTGAGCTATTGGTACAGTACTGTGACTGCAAGGCAAATACAGTCAGAATCTGGCTTCTTCATCCATTAAAATCTTCTAGGTTATTTTCACTGTCAGATCTTACATGAGAACTGAACCTTCTTTTTTTTTTTTTTTTTTAAGATTTTATTTATTTATTTATTTGTCAGAGAGAGAGAGGGAGCGCACAGGCAGGCAGAGTGGCAACAGAGGCAGAGGGAGAAGCAGGCTCCCTGCTGAGCAAAGAGCCCGATGTGGGACTTGATTCCAGAACGCTGGGATCATGACCTGAGCCAAAGGCAGCAGCGTAACCCACTGAGCCACCCAGGCGTCCCTGAACCTTCTTTTTTTTTAGTTTAAGATTTTATTTATTTAGGGGTGCCTGGGTGGCTCAGTGGGTTAAAGCCTCTGTCTTCACCTCAGGTCATGATCCCAGGGTCCTGGGATTGAGCCCCCATTAGGCTCTTTGCTCAACAGGGAGCCCGCTTCCTCCTCTCGCTGCCTGCCTCTCTGTCTACTGTGATCTCTGTCTGTCAAATAAATAAATAAAATCTTCTTAAAAAAAGATTTTATTTATTTATTTGACAGACAGAGCACAAGCAGGGGGAGGGGCAGCGGGAGAAGCAGGCTCCTTGATGAGCAGAGAGCCTGATGTGGAGCCCAATGCAGGACTGGATCCCAGGATCAGGACCAAAGCCAAAGGCAGACACTCAACCAGCTGAGCCACCCAGATGCTCTAAGAACAGAATCTTCTGTTGGCCTTAACAAATTAGCAGAGGAGCAGAACATGATTCCGAGAGAGCCACTGAGCTGATTTTGAAATTGTAAAGTGGATTCTATCAAGAAAACCTCATGGGGATGTTATGAGAGTTAAATGAGTTAATATTTGTAGAACACTGAGAACAGGGCTTGCCACCTAGCAAATGCTTTATAACTGTTTAGAATATTAAAAAAGGTGGGGGGGGATAAATTACATGACTCAGCCAGGAGAGGATGAGGGCAGGAATAAAGCTTTAATCTGCAGTTAACAATCTTCCCTAAGGGATTTAAAAAAAAAAAAAAGGAAACACCAAAATTAGCTTGAGGTACAACCAGGGAAGAAATACAAATGAGACCAGCACTGCCTGTGTGCCCAAGCCGGTTGTTTATAGCCAGTATCTATTCTGAACGGTTAGTGCCCATGCCATACCAGTGGTTAAATATTTTGATTATCATTCCTGCAATAAGAAAGAATTTCCTGGCAATGAAGCTGTTAGCAATGGCCAGGATGCCTAGGGAGGGGAAGCTGTAAAGTCTCCATTTTAGGACATTGATGGTAAAATGGCATCGTCTGCCTAGAGGCAGGGGAACAGTCTCCCACCTATAAACAGCTCCTTCAGTGTCCAGATACCTTACTGATCACTGATGAGCTTCTCCCGTTTCCCACAGTGCATCTCAACCCTGCTGATGCTGGTCACCAGCGACATGTACACCCTCATCAACTACGTGGGCTTCATCAACTACCTCTTCTATGGAGTCACAATTGCGGGACAGATCGTTCTTCGCTGGCAGAAGCCTGACATCCCCCGCCCTATCAAGGTGCGAGAACCTCCCCTTGAGATCCCTTTCCCCTCCTCTACAAATCTAGCTGCAGCTCAGATTTTTAAATCCCCTTGTCCTCAGCTGCTGACCACATATATGATCTACCTTCTCTATGATGGTAGCAGACCCTTTGGAAAGCAAGGGCCATGTATAAATGGGGCAGCCATTTCCATTTTCCACTGGAGACAGGACCAGAACAAATCACAGCTGGAAGAGTAAGTTAGATTAAATGATACTCTCATCAGGTTATTCCTTTGTTTCCTACAACTCTTAAAAACACCGGTTGATTTTTCAAGGCTCCCTTACCTCTCTAGCATTTCCATGAATCCACTGGTATGGCCCATCTCCTCCTCCTCCCTCCATCCTATCCCTGAGTTCACTTGAACTATGTCTCCATCCCAGAGTGAGTTTCCTTCTCCCATCTGCCTATCCAAATTATAACTATTCCCCTCATAGGCCTCAAGTTCCTCCTCTTCCTTGAAGCTTTCCAGTCCACTACAGCCCTCCATGAGCCTCCCTTTTTAAACTACTATAGCCTTATATGTAGTAGGGTGCCTGGGGAACCTACCGATTGCTGCAAGAGATAATGTGGTGAATGAACGGCATTGCTCAGAACAAAATAGGCAAGAGCATTATGGGTTCTCCTGCAAATTAGAATAGAGCATAGACCTGAGCTCTTTGAACAATCCTATTCTGGAAACAGGAGACTAGATCCTTCAAGAAGGTTCTTCCAGCTGGGGATTTCAGCTTTCCAAATCTCTTTTCCACCACCACTTTCCTGTCACTCTTAGAAAGCTTGCTAGAGGGATGACAAGGTAGAATAACCCATCCCTCCTCCCAACACTTGCATACCCTCTGAGATGACAAGGAAGAGAAAGGCAGCTAAATATGGAGTCTTCTTTGTTTTTTAAAGATTTTATTTATTTATTTGACAGAGATCACAAGTAGGCAGAGAGCGAGAGGAAGGGAAGCAGGCTCCCCGCTGAGCAGAGAGCCCGACTGGGGGTTCGATCCCAGGACCCTGGGATCATGACCTGAGCTGAAGGCAGAGGCTTAACCCACTGAGCCACCCAGGCACCCCCTAAATGTGGAGTCTTGAAGAAGACTCTACTGGGCACTCCCACCTGTGGCCAACAAGATGGCCAATAAGCCCATAGAGCTGATGCTTCTTTCTGAATAAAATCAAGGTCCCAGAGTGCCTGATAGTATGGTAGGTTTCCTGACTTCTTGGATCTTGGCAGACTTACCTTCTCAGATTGCTTGAGAGAAACATATTGAGACTGATCCTGACAAGAAGGATGGACATTTGCCACATGGTACCCAGATGAGGGCCCTACCTAGAACTGGGAAAGGAACAAGGACTATGACAGACCTGGGCCACTTCCTTCTTGCCCCTCACTTATTTCTCCACCTCTCTTCTACTCTAGGATGTCAGCAAATATATACCAATAAACCAGTGAGCCTATCAGTCCCCATGGGCCTCCCTGGATGAAGCATGGATGACAAGGACCTATTTAGCCTCTGCCCAGGAGAAAAGAGAAAGGCAGGAGGATCATTCCCTTCCTAGTTGCCCTTCCTCTTCCATCCTACTACCCAAGTTCACCAACGTTTGTTGACATAATACTTGATCTATCAGGGCTTGGGGTGTGGGAGCCATAGAGCCAAGTGAAGCCTAGCCTTTGCCCTCAAAGGTGCCTCTCTGTGGATTGAGAAGAGGGAGGACACCCTGATCCTGGGGACCACGGGATCCACACAGCTAACAACAAGTCTGTTCCACAGATCAACCTGCTGTTCCCCATCATCTACCTGCTGTTCTGGGCCTTCCTGCTGATCTTTAGCCTGTGGTCAGAGCCCGTGGTGTGTGGCACTGGCCTGGCGATCATGCTGACAGGAGTGCCTGTCTATTTCCTGGGTGTTTACTGGCAACACAAGCCCAAGTGTTTCAATAACTTCATTGGTGAGTTGTTAAAAATGCTGGGTGGCTAGAGGATCTCCTTGTCTGAGTGAGGTCTCCTGGTCAGGAGGCCTAGGCTGGTCCACAGAGCTCTGGAGAAGAAGACGGGGCAGGAAAGTATGGGTGCCTTCCCAGAGACCTCTGAGGAGAGGAGAACAGCTGAGGTTTGCACACAGACCCTAGAGCTGGAAGAATAGGCACCCTGACAGCCATTCTGCAGGAGCTGCCCTGGGCAGAGGCCAAGGGAGATCCTGGAACTAGTAGTCACCAGGCTTAGGGAAGGTGGGGGACTAGGGCTTTGATGGGAATGGGCAGCCAGCAGACGGGCTGCCCAGAGCCCCAGGAAGAGGCAAGGTGGCTGTCTCCTGGAATGGAAGTCTCCTGAAGGCACTGGGGCTCTACTGAGGCAACACCTGGGGCAGGGGAATGGAGCAGGGTCATGGCCGGCTTGGTGGGGCGGGTGGGATGCTCAGCACTGACCCATTCTGTGTAACTTCCCATAGAGTCACTAACCCTCGTGAGCCAGAAGATGTGTGTGGTTGTGTACCCCGAGATGGAAGCGGGCTCGGGGAAAGAGGAGATAAATGAGGACACAGAGGAGCAGCGGCAGCCCATCTACCAACCCATGGCCTCCAAGGAAAAGGACTCGGAGCAGCCCCAACCCTGAGAACCACCATCACCTCTCAGCTGGCTCCTTCCTCCTATACCCCATTTTTGCTCTCCTTCCCTGCCTAGGTCCCCCCAACACACACACACACACACACACACACACACACACACACACACACGGTGTGTCCAGCAGGAGCAGAACCTGGGTGTGGGTGGTAAGAAACTATAGACAAACACACTGACATTTGTCAAAGAACCAGCCTCTCGCCACCAGGGCCTGTGTCCAAAACCCTCACCAGGGCTGCTCCAAGAAGTGGGAGGAGAGTGGAGCTTCTGGCGGTACCCCACAGGGCCCTCCCTCCTCAGGAGCCCAGTCAGTACTGCCTTCCCTCCCCATTCCTGAGCCCATGGGAGGCCTCTGCTCAGAGAACCGGAAGCAACAGTGAGTCAGTTGGGGAGGGACAGACTCAGGCAAATCTGTCATCTTTAAAGGTCAGCTGGAGAGACTAGTATCACCCTCCCTTTACTAGGGACCCAAGTAATGAGAGATGCTTCCCTCTGCCCTCTCCTCTCCCCCTCCCCATGGTACCTCCCCCTACCCCATCTTGGGCTCCCTGTCCAGAACAAGGTTCCTGGCAGGACATCACCTCCCTACTGAGCTAAGGACCAATGAACAGGAGAACCGCCCCCTCCCCCTAACCCAAGCCAGGCCTGTGGAACAGATTGGGAAAGGCTCAAATTGCAGAAACCCAGCCCTGCCCCGTCTCCTTCATCCTGACCCCCACTCAGTGCCAAAGCTTCCTGAAGCCAGAAAGTCTTCTTATTTTCGATGTAGAAGACATTTCTCTCCTAATGGCAAAGCTGCTTAGCTCCTCCCTCCCCACTCCAGTGAGAAGGAACAGTCACTCCATGATCCCTGCAGCTACGCCCCCCACATACCTCCATAGAACCAGCACTGCTGGCAGTCCTCATTGTGCCCTTTCCCTCTTCTCTGGCTTGGCTCCGGGACCAACTGGTATGAAGGCTCCCCAAGACCTTCAGGCCGGAAACCCAAGCCAAATCAGCCTTAAATCACCTCCTATCCAAGAACTGGACCTAAAAATACTCCCTGATTTCTAACCCTCAGGACAGACCTGGTATGAAAAGCCTTTCTGGAATGGAGGGTGCTTTCCCACCCACCCCCCAGAAGTATGCCCATCCCATAACCTCAGAGACTGTGTGGGGAGAGAGTGTCTTCTGAAGGCCAGTTCCTTCCTCCTCCCCCAACTCTGACACCTCCCCTTCTGGTCCCACCACTGCCATGTCTTAGGACAGCCTCCCAAACAGAATGAAAGGGCAGTGGCAGAAAGTACCCATTTTGGAGACACATTCTGGTTTGCGCACTTCTGGCCGTCCTGTGGGCAGAGGCTGCCTTTCCCTGCGCTCCAAGGGAACACCACCATGTTTACCCTGGGCCTTGCAGCCTCCCTACCACACTTGATGTGCTAAGGACTAGGATCCTTTCATCCCAAAGCAGGAGGGCCCCCTTTCCTACCTCCCCCTACCACCTGCTTAGACTAGAATATGCTGGGAGTCCTCCTGGCTTGCTTGGCTTTCCCAGCTTCCTACCTGGCCTGCCTGACTGCCTCCCCCCAACCCCAACTGGTGAGATGTCAGGTTTGGTTTGAGTTCCAGTCCCTTCAGAGTGGACCCCAGGTGTGCTGGGCCTGGCCCCTGGAAGGTCAGGGGACCACCCTCCTGTTCCCTCTTCTCATTCCACCAACCTCCATCCCTCCTTCAATTGTTAGGGTTTATTTGTTTGTTTGTTCGTTTGTTTCGTAAAGTGAATGCCTTACTTTTTTGGATAAATATTTTTGAAGCTGGCATTTCTATTTCTTTTAAAATTTTTAATGTAAGGTTGTTTGGGTGGGGAGGGCATTAGTTATACCTGGATAATAATCTTCTGTCTTTGAGTTGGTCTAGGGTTAGAGTTTGTTTTGTGGAGGGTTTTTTTTTTTTTCTTTTGATGTAATAAAATTTTAAATGGAAACGAAGTTGTTGGTGGTAGTAATTCAGTGACCTTCTGAGACAGAGTCCCCGGGCATTTCCTATCTTCGTCAGGACGTTGGTTGCTAAGTTCCTTCCTGGATGGCATTCCCAGAGGCCCTTGCTCTGTCCCAGGAACCCAGTACCAGCACACTCAAACAACTCTCTTGCATTTTTTGGCGGGGAGGGGTTGGTTTTTAACTACCTTTCATTTTGAACCAAAAACTTCCTCATTTCTTCAGTGAAGTCCCAAAGTGTTCATTAAGTTCCTGCAAACTAGCTAGGAAGAACATCACCACTGCCCAGGTGGGAAGGTAGATGGCAGACAGGACTTAGCTGAGTGGAGGGAGGCAATGGCAGAGTGGTTCTCCAAGGTCTGGTCAGCCAAGCCTTCTGGCACTGGGACAGCTGGCACTGAATGGGAAAGGAAGGGATGGACTGAGCCTATGGAGAGAAGCCAGGGGCACTTAGGAAAGCAGCCAGCCAGATCCGAGGGGTTTGACAGAAGGCACTGGGACGTGAGGCAGGGTCCCCTCAGCTGCACGGAGCTGAATGAGAGGGCCGTGTCTAGTCTGCGGTCTAGGAAGGCTGTTGAGTGGGGACAAAGGAGGAACCAGGTACGGTAGGGACACGTCCACTGGTGATTTGGGTTAATTGCTGGAGGAAGTTGATGGGATTAGACCCAGTGCTTGCTTGGAGTGCCTCCTTCGTGGGCAGCCGTCCCAGCTGCCTGTTCTGGGGCAGCATTACTCCAGAGCCAGCACGTCTGACAGACATGAGCAGGGGAGGGGGGGGTGTTAAGACATCATCCTCCACCATGTGGGACACATGAGGACACAGGCAGGCAAAATGCCTCACTCCCAGTCCCCGCCCAGCCCCAACACTCCTCATCTGTGGCTGGCATTTTTCTAGACTGAGGCTGGAGGCGTGCCAGTCACAGGGCACAGATGCTTGGCTCTAAGTTCCAGCTCAGCAGCCACCAAACAGCTCTGTGTCCTTGGGCAAGTCATTTAACCTATTTAGTACTTTCTGAGAAAAGAAAAAAAAAAGGTTGAACCGAATCTCAAAGCTTTCCTCAATCTTCAGCCCAAGGTTGTCCCTAGATACTGACGGCAAAACTGGGCAGAGGCCAGTCTTATGCAAGAGGCTGTCCCCGAGGTCTCAAATCCACACTTTTGAACCCCTTCTTCCCCAACACACACACTTTTCCTTTTAATGGGCTGCCACTGTATTCTCCACGTTGCCCTGTTCCAGCAAGTCCAGCCCTCCCCAAAGCCCCTCTCGCTCTGTGGAGACACTCACTTCTATCCATCACCAGCAGCCCCCCTCCCCACATAAGTGACACATGCTGATCTTTTTAACCTGGGCCATGGTAAATGTGGGTGTCCTCCAGAGCACAAGTTATTTATGTTTAGCCTGGGCCTTTACCCAGTCTTAACCCTGTCAGTCCTTTAATGGTAGGAATTCAGATGCTCTGACCTTAGGGAATTTGGGGGGGGGGTCGCCGAAATCATAGCTGCATAAGCATTCATTTGTTAGTTAATCACACAACACACCTTATAACCATTTTGTCCAAGGAGTTTGTTAGGTGCTGTGAGAATAGCAAACTTATTCCCGAAGTTTCTGGGTCAGCACAGATTTCAAATGCTTTGTTCCATTGTCTCCATAAAAATATTCATACTTGACAATCCACCTTTCCTTAATTTTTATTCAGGCAATACGGTCACCACAGCTGAAAAGGTTCAAAAAATGGATCTGACCCTACCCTTGAGGAGCAAATCATCTACAGGGAAAGAGGGCGAGAACGCTCCTGGCTCATAGGCACTGCTGACTGCCCACTCTACCACCTCGGGGAGGGGGGACCTCCAGCCATGGCAGACAGGAGCTGAATCTGCCAGATCCCCAGAGCCTGCACTGTGTCTGCTACTTCCGTGCCCCAAAATGCCTGTTAAACTGAGGCATCAGATGGGGCTGTAGATATTGTCTGCTTAGGACACTCAGATAAACTGCGGGCGGTGGTGGGAGGAAGGGCGGAAGACTCAACATTGCTCTCCATACAAAGTTTCATTAAACAATCTGACAAAGTAGGAGTTACTACTGCCATTTTACAAGTAAGGTTAAATAACTTGCCCAAAGTCACCAGACTGGGATGTGACAGAGGCAGGATTTAAGCCCAGGTCTCTCTGACACTCCACCGCTGCCATGCTTGGCTGGCTCCCGGTTGTAAGGACTTGGTAAAGGAGGTGATCTTTGAACTGAGGCCTGTTACAAAGTCACTAAGAAAATATACCTGCATTGTTTCCATTAAGGCAAACAGGTAGCAACTGAAGCAGAAAGGAGAAAGAGAGCCTGCTGACCAGGGAGGGCTTCATTCCACACCTGAGCAACTCCACAGAACCCAAGACTCCCCCAGCTCTTGTCTGGGACTGCCCTCCCCATCCCTGCTCTTGTCCAGACCCCCCTCCTCCCCTGCCCAGATATCTAGAATGCTGCCTGCCCTCCCCAAACTCCTCTGTTACTGGGAAACCTAATGTCAGTACTCCAGCAACGTCAGCCACCAGCCTAGAAGGTGAGGGACTGGAGGGAGATCACTTATCTCCCCCTGGCCCCAGCCTTTCTCATTTCCTGCCAGCTCTATTTGCACACTTCCCTGCTTCCTCCAGCGCCCCGTTCACTGGCTACTGACGCAGTCTTACCTCCCCCCCACCCTCCCACCCCCGCGGCAGACTAAGGGCAAACAGGGCTGAGTCACACAGCAACCCCTTTCTCTATCCCTAACTGCCTAGGGGTTTCAAGAACTAGCCCACGGCCTTTTCCCCCCAAGAGCAAAGTTGCATCCTTGTCTGACCTTGGGCGGTTGGGCCTTTCAGCCTAATTTCCCTCCTTGATAAGGCAGATTTAAAATGGCATCGGTCTTGCTTTCCTTCCTACTTAACTCACAGGGAACCGATCAGTATGGAAAAGTGAATGTTTCAATTACCAGAAAGAGCATAACTCCAGAAAACGTCAGGCCTTAACCGTCATCACTACTTCAAAGTCGGAGAGGGCTAGAATTTCTGCTCATTGAGACAGGACCCTCGCCCCAGTCCTCTCAGCCTGCCCACTCTCCCAGTAACTGCGCTGCAAGACCCCACCTCACCACGATTCCCCTCCCTCCTCCCAGAGGCCCGGCAGGATCCTGCCCTTGCAAGGGCTGCGGAAGCCTGCCCCCTGCCGTCCACCAGATGCCTGACCACAGCGGCCCCTCTAGTTCCGCATTCTGGACCAATATTGCCACCTGCCGGTCAACAGAGGCATTCCTGCCAAACTGAGGTAGTTCAGCTCTGGTTACCTGTTTGACCCAAGGTCCTTTGAAAGGGAGATGAGACAGATACCTACCCAACCTACCCTTCCGGTCCCTGAACTCTGTCTCCAGGATGCACACAGATCTCCCAATGCCAGGTCAGGGCTCTCAGAGAAAGGACCCTAAACTGTGCCCAGAAAGCTCCTGGGGTTGATGGGGTGGTGGGGAGCA